AGAGAGAGAGAGAGAGAGAGAGAGAGAGAGAGAGAGAGAGAGAGAGAGAGAGAGAGAGAGAGAGAGAGAGAGAGAGAAAGAAATCTGAGTTTCCAGAGTAGACTAGGCGCCAAGATTGAGTGGACGAGGACAACTCGGACTTCAAAAAGTGTGAGATTTTTTGATTCTTTGGGACTTCAGTTAGGTCGGAAAGGCGGAATGACAGGAGGACAAAATTCATCACACTCAGACTTGGCCAAAATCTGACTTTTCTGGGTTTCCTAGATCCCCTAACACTGCCTGAGGCTGAGAAACGCAAATCTCAGATGCAAAGTCTGAGTTCTTACAGTTGCCATCCCCACTCCACCATCTCTATCCTCTTTACTTTGTCATCCCAGATGCAAAGTCTGAGTTCTTACAGTTGCAGCTGGAGCTGAGCAGAAAACTCAGATTTCAGAAAACTCAGATTTGGAAATCTGAGTTTTCTAGTTGAGTTCTGGTAAGGGAACAAGACAGTGAGGTGGAGATGCAGCTGGTAACTCAGTTTTAGCAAAATCTGAGTTTTGTCTCAGGAAGGTGTCAAAAGAGCGATGGTGGAGAGGGGTGATAGAGGTGGGGGAGTGAAGGTGGTGGTGAGAAGGATGAGAAGGGGGCCAGGAGGTGATGATGATGATGACGACGGTGAGGAAGACGATGATGTTCATCATGGTGGAGGGGGGACGAGGTTAAGGTGATTTTAATGATGATCAATAGATGGCGAAGTGGGGATGACAAAGTAAAGAGGATAGAGATGGTGGAGTGGGGATGGCAAAGTAAAGATGATAGAGATCGTGGGGTGGGGATGATGGAGATGGCGAGGATGATGATGGTGGAGATCATAAAGTGAGGTTGATGATGATGGTGGTGATGGTGGAGATGGAGATCTTGAGGTCATGGAGATGGTGAAGTGAGGTGGATGATGATGAAGGTGGAGATGGAGAAGTGAGTTGCAATGGAGGTGGTGAACTGGGGGGAATGATCGTGATGGTGATGACGGATAGGGAGAAGAAGGTGAATTGGAGACAATGATGGAGGTGGTAGGTGGAGATGGAGAGGGTGAAGTTGAGATAATTAAGTGAAGTAGATAATGATGAAGGTGATGGAGAAGTGAGGTGAAGTGGAGGTGGTGAAGTGGGGAGGATGATGATGATGGTTATGGCAGAGATGGGAAAGTGGGTGAAATGGAGGTGATGGTGATGGAGGTGATAGGGGAGATGGATAAGTGGGTGAAGTGGAGATAGTGAAGTGAGTTTGATGATGATGATGGTGATGATGGAAGTTGGGAATGGAGGAAATGACAAAGATGGAGGTGGTGGAAGTGATTGGTACGGTGTGAGGTGCAATGAACGTGATTGATACGGTGGTGAGGTGCAATGGAAGTGATGGATACAGTGGTTAGGTGCAGTGGAAGTGATGGATACGGTGGTGAGGTGCAATGGAAGTAGAAGGAATGTAGAATGTGGCTATGGAGGTGCAGCTGAAGTAGGAGGAAGATGAACTGCTGTCAGGGTGCAGCAAAAGCTGGGAATGATTGGGGAGATGGCTATGGGGGCGAAGAAGGGGATGGAGATGGTGAAAAGTGCAAGGGAATGCAGTCGAAGCTGAGGATGATGGAGAAATAGATATGGAGGTGGAGATTGTGACACACAACCTCACGACCTCAACTACTTTCCTTTCAGATCAGGATAAACATGGAATTGTCCACAAAAGTGCAAAAATGGGGGTGTGCCAGGGATTTTAGGACAAAAGGGGGCTGGAGTTCCAGATTGGCACTGGAATCTCCTACATCGGTTTCGTTAAAAGCTCTAAAAGATCTATATGAGGCTGAGGGGCTGTGCAATTTGTGCGTAACTCTCATCTGGACGACAACTTTCACATTCCATAGCGTGAAAATGTTTTAAAATTTGGAATGGCTATCCCTCTACCATCGGTTTCCAGGGCGGAAAGCGCACTCATGTATGCGGGATCTTTGGCTTTAGCTACAACTTGACATTGTATCTCGTAGAGCTCATAATCGAAATCAAACGGACGCAATTACGTTGCCCTTCCGCTCCACATGGCACATAGTCGAACCCCCTCTCTCTTAGATACTCGCTTCACTTATAATTTGAACACAGTATATCGAGCCAATAAGATCCATCAGCAGGCCATAAAATAACAGTGAGCTCATTAAATGGAAGCAAAATCGAGAAAGGAGGAAAGACCGTGTCCACAATCACAAATTTAGAATTAACAAAGGCAGAACACTCCCCGTCTCCAGGGTATTGATAAGGTCGACAAATCTGCACCATACGTTCACGTACATCCCACTCGCAAACTTGTGGGCTTCCCATGTTATACGGGAAGTCCGGGGTACAGTCTTGAGTCCACACACGAGTATGATGCACACCTACCACAACTTCCAAATTCCATTGCAAAACTAAAGATCATAAAACATTATCCTATATGGCTATAACTCGATAAAAAAATGATTCACAAAAGCAACCATCAGCAATTACTGAGTCCTACACTAAGAAAAGAGAGACCCTCCTATTCGTCATGCAACCAGTAGATAGCCACACAGTGAATACACGATTGTTTTAGGACAATTCATCAGGCTGACTAAAAGCTTTCAAGAACGGACAAGGATGTGCACATGCAATTATCGAGTACAAAATGGAAAACAATCTCATCAGACGCAATTATTCCGTTCTTATAGAGTCAAATCGGCTTAAAGTTAGGGTTCTGATTATCCAAAGATGGACATGGTAGGGCAGGGTACTTCAGTAAGTCTCCCGCTGCTTTGGACTTCTTTGTGACGTCTAATCCTTGCTTTTATGACTTTGTTATTTTCATGCTTGTTGGGGATAAGTAACCGGACTGGTGTACCCCAGAAGGTAATGGGGTTGTGTGTTGTTAAAAAAAAAAAAAAAAAAAAAAGGCATCTCCCGCCATGCAGGACTTTACTAAGAAATGTATACATGTGTAACCAGGGGAAGCAGATTACCCCGCTCTTATACACGTGGCATGCTCACCATTGTCCAGTGTCGACAGTCCGTCGTTCCACACTCAGGGATCAATCCTAACGATTGTCACTTTGTCGATCGGACCCTTGCCCTGATCCGCTCGAGGCTCTGTGGTCCGTCACACAAATTGACGTGATCCTGCAGAGTCGTTACAGACACGTCAAGACTATGCAATCCGCTAATCACCACCTTGCTAACCACTCATCGCGAGTTGGTAGATATCATAAGAGGGAGAAAATGAGTCGTGCTTGCGAGATGTATAGTTGTGGATATGGGAGAGTAAGGACGCGGGCAATGGACGGAGGGCAAAAGAAAGTAAGGGATCCATGGATGGACGGGGGATGGGCTCGTACTTGGGAACCATGGTTTGGGGAACTTAGCCACTTTCCAAGCAGGAATCCGATCTCCACAACCATCCTAGCTCGTCAAGATTTCAGGAAGGTAAGCACAGGTGAAAAAGCAGACACGAAAGATGGCAGAAGGAGAAACCAAGATAAAAAATCAAGAAGAAGGGAAGCACACAGGGAAAAGAAGAAAGCAATTACGATTGTCAAAGTGAAACACGGGGAGAGAGTGAAAAAACACTCAAAAAAGGAGAAGCAGAATGTGCAAGCGTTGAAAGCGCAAGCCTGAAGTGACGAAGAAACAAAAAGGCGGGGGATGGGCTCGTAGTTGGGAACCACGGTTTGGGGAACTTCGCCACTTTCCAAGCAGGAATCCGATCTCCACAACCATCCTAGCTTGTCACTGCCTAAAGTAAGAACAGGGGGTATCTATACGGTAGGAATTGGAGGAGAGCTTATGATCGAGTATTAGCTGAGAAGAGACGTTTAGAGAGTGAGGGTAAGGTTGTTCGCTAGAGTGCGATTATCACTGTGTTTGAGGGAATTTCGACGCCTCCGATAGAAGAAAGAAATCTTTCGATATACAAATGGAATCAAATAGTAAAGTTGGCATTAAAAATAAAAAGGGCGCAGATAAGTTCGACTTAAACGGATGAAGATATGCGTAGTGAATCAGATGTGCGGTGGGCTTATTTGCCGATTCACAATTCAGATTCATACAAAGCCAGAGTCTTGATAAGACCTAGAGAAACCGCACTTATATATGATATATCTCTCCCCATACGATTGGAGACGTATGGGATGACTCCTATTGACTACAAGGGCACATGGCGGGCGTTTGAAGTCTACCTCTTAATGGTGATTGTTGAGGGTCAGGACTTGAGGGGTTAGAGATAGATAGAAGTTATAGGCTACCTTATATTCGAGACCTCTCAGGAGATTGAAATAGGGTTAACCGTCGTCGGTGCTAGGAGGAGATGGTGGAGATATGAAGCTTTGGCACGATTGATTTTTATCCATAGGCTAAGTCGCTCTGTATCAGGTCGTTATGTGACTCAAGTCGTGTTTGGACCTCTCAGTCAAGCGCGTTATGGACTTCGCCTGAATTTGTTGTTATTCAACTGTATAAAGTTGTTATCATTCTGACTAGAGTTCTTGACGAGACATTGCACGCTCTCCCGTTTGGAGATCTAGGGCTAAGAGGATGTCGTGTACCGGTTTTGCGCCTCAGCTGTTTGGGTAACACACGAGGAGCACTGTTGGGACTCCTTCCTTGTTGTGATGAAAGCGATCTTGGTACGGTCCCCTGTCTAATATGGACCCTGCGCCTCGGCCTCCGAAGTAGGAAAATCACTTCCTTTTCTATCCTAATGTGAATCCTTTTACTTTACTAGTCACAACCCTCTTTCTTTTCCTCGAATTCTCTCCTTCCTCGAACTGTGTTGACGGCGACTCATCCATCACTTTGCCCTTTCCCTGTTCCGCATGGTCTGTTAGCGATGGAGTAAGGGCCGAAGGTCTTCGCAGTTTAAACAACTTTAGTCTAGCTCCTGCCACTTGGTCTGTCCACTTAGATCCATCTAACTCGGCTATCATGTAGGCTCCCCAGACTAGCGCCTCAACCACGTGGTAAGGAGCCATCCATCGGTTTGCCAACTTCCCTGACCACGTTCTTTCCAACGTCGAGTCATATAAGAGGACCATATCACCCAAACATATCCTTTCCTTTTTTATTCTGACATTCTTATCCCATCTCTCTTTTCCTTTTTCTTTTTCCACTACCAGTCGATCCACCGCCGTTATTAAAGTATCCTTTAATCCGTATGCTATCTGTCTCGTTCGGACAACTAGAAGGTCTTCACGTGACATGTTGTCGGCCCAATCAACACTCGTCCAACTGTCCACGTGAAACTCTATAGGTAAAGGACAATGTCTCCCAAACCATAAGGTATAAGGAGGATAACTTGTACTAGTCAGGGCCGTGATGTTATCAGCCCATATCGCATATCTAAAATACCGTGGTAAGTCGCTATCCTTTCCTCTACACCACTTAGACAGTGACGCGATCAAGGATTGATGCCCTCGCTCAACATGTGAATTTGTCTGAGGATGATAGGCAGTGGCTATCGAAACTGTGGTCGCCACTTTTTTGAATACGTTATGAACCTCGTCAGCAAGGAATTATGCACCCCTGTCCATCACGATTCTACCAACACATCCATATCAGGACAGATATTCCAAAACAAAGTTTTTTACCTCCTTGGCCGATTTAGTTTTGTTGGGTTTTCCATCCACAAACCCAGTAAAATTATCTCTTATGTTCACTATATAGTTCAAATTCC